CACTTATTAGTAATTAAATTTTAGGTTTAGTGACTATTCACCTTTTCTTGTCTTTATGGTCACTTTACACCAATTATGTTTAATTTTGATCACCAAAATATAATTTTATTTTTTATTTTTTATAAAAAAAAAATAATAATAAAAATCTATCCTATAATAGAATATGCATGAAGTCTCTAGCTTTATGTAAATGTCTTAAACTTAAATGATACCCATACTTTGCGGATGATAATGTGAATCTGTGAGATACAAATCATTCCAAAGTCCAAAATGACTATCGGTGAGATTCCTTGTATTTTTTTTTTTTTTTAAATCTATCCTATAATTGAATATGCATGAAGTCTCTAGTTTTATGTAAATGTCTCATCTCTTATTATTATTTATTATAATAATAATAAAAAGCAATATTAATTTGATTAATGTAAAGTCAGACTATGTTTGCGGTGTGATCTCTAAAAATTAATGTGCACCTAAAATTAATCAATTATGAAATTTGATATTTTATGAGACACCAAAGAACAAACCCTGTAAGTTAACCGGGTTGTTTGAGGGCATCTATTAAGAACAAATGTAATATATATTTTCTTAGAATAAACTTAAATTAGTACGTACAAAACAAGCTTCCAACAGCTTAATCATAAAGTGTGCTCTTCATAAATTCTCTCTTGAACAGTGCTACGGGCATTAGTTAAAAAATCAATCATTAAAATTATAATTGATGATTATTTCCTATGTGTCTTTAAATACCTAACCTTATAGAACCATATTATTCTTTTTAAATATTTCTTCTTTCTTTTTAATTCTATCTGTGTATTTATGTACTTATGTCCTTGTATATATCTATATATACATCTATTACTAATCTATACATCTGTTCCATCGGGATCTATTCTTTATTAGATTTTCATCATTATAAATTTTAATTAAAGTAATATTATGGGATTGAATTTTATTTGAAGTAAAATTGTGAAATTTGAGTTTTAGTTGATGTGTGAAAGAGAGATGAGGATGGTATCATAACCATTCACAATATGATTACATACATCTATATATAAACAAAGAAAAGAAAGAATTGAAAAAAGAAAAGAAAGAATTGAAAAAAGAAAAGAAAAAAGAGACGGTAAATATATGTACATTATATTATATATTATTTAAAAGTTTAATCACATAAAAATATAATTTTTACTATTCCCTTTTAAAATAAAACAAGCAATTTTTTTTTTTTTACCTGCTTATTGAACTATACGACGTAATTTCAATTTATGTAAATTAGGTTTCTCTTTTATTTTCAATTCAATTAAAGATACCTTCTGAAACAAAGAAAAAAATCAATTAAAGATCTAGGTAGATATTGGTTTGCTTTCATGTTAATTTCTATTTAACTAAAATTAGGCTTTCTTTTATTTTCAATTCAATTAAATATACCTTTCGAGGCGAGAGAGAGGGGGGGACGAAAAAGATCAACTAAAAATTACTGTTGAATTTGTTTGGTTTCAATTTAATGTGTTCCTGTAATACACTAGGTAAAATTTATTGAGATAAAATTTGCTTCCAACTCAAATACTTTTTTTTTTTTTTCTAATCACGTAAAAATAGTAAAGAACTCCCTATATTTTATTTTGCCTCTTTGGAATTTTTTATTTTATTTTATTTTGTTTTGTTTTTGCAGTAAAAAAAAAAAAAAAAAAAAAAATCTGCTCTCTCTCCACCCTTTCTATCTGCAACACACCCCTTCTTTCCCTCCGTTTTTCTCCCTGCTTCCTTCCATAAGAATGGGGAGGTGCTGTTTTGCCTCCCATAATTTCAATAAACTCGGCATGTGTCAACAAGTGTTTTGCTTCAAGATTTATATGTCTTTATCTGGTTTGACTTTTGCCTATGTACTGTAGATTAAAATATTTTTTTTCTACTGTATTATGTAACTACTTATACGATAAATGTTTAAGAGAGAGACAATTGTGACATTAAAAATATAATAATTAAGTACTATATAGGACAAAGACTCTTTTGTAAATTCATTTTAAAAAAAAGAGCAATTGTGGATCCACTTCACTTCAGATATGACCTAGCAGTTTGCTTGCCAAACTTTGGTGCTTTGCATGAATGTTTGGGTTTTGAATTCGCTGTCGCTGCAACGACTTATTCGGCTTGACCCGAGTTAATTAAAAAAAAAAATGGGGCGTCAATGAAAAGAGCAATTGTGGATACCACCCTAAATTTTTTCACCAATGAAACGAGCGATTGTGGATGCCCCTAGCACTGCTCTTCTCTCTTATCTTCATTTCTAGGGCACTGTGGCTTATATAGGACGTTTATTTTTTGATCCATGGACACAATTATTATGAATAAAAATGATTCAAATAACATAGACCAGTATATGAGAAGACCAAACACTCCACAAGACCCTATCTATAAAGGCCCAAACACCCCCCACAAGACTTAAACATGTTGATTCTCTTGCTAAGCAAGTGCACTGAGTTTTCTTGGTAAGTACAATGAAAGCTTCTCCAACATTAAAGTTAATGCTTTGTCTTTTATCAATCAATCCTGAATTGAGCTTATGTTAGAAATTTCAATATTTTCTTTTCTTTATATATATATATATTATTGGCAATAAACTAGTACACACATTTTTTCACGTAAAAACTCGAACCCTTACCATTCATATTAGAAATATCACTGGTTTACAACCTTTGATATTAAAAAATTCAGTTAGAATGATCTCAAATATTTTTATGCATAATATAGTCTAAAAAGGAATATAAACATTTTTAAATTATAAACAAATTCTCAAAATATAAAATTTCCAAAGAATTACCATTCCTTAAAAAAAAAGGAACAGATCAGAGCATTAGATATATGATATTTGTGAGATAAAAAGTCATGTCAAAATTTGAATTATGAGTTGTGTTAATAACTCAATCTAAGACAGAAAACTAAGAATTGATTTTTCAACTCAAACCCAATCTTATTTATAAACTGCTACAAAATCGTAAAAAATCGAATTGAGCTTAGGAATTGATTTCCTTGATTTTTTTTTTTTTTTTTTTTCAAAGTTTTAAGCCCGAGTATTATTTATTTTATACACCAAGTGTTCCTTGCCACTTGTCACAAAATCTTTAAGATGCAGGCTCAAACATAAAATAATTTTTTCGGAAAATATATACATATATTTTTGTGTAAAATATTTTCTTTTCTTTTTATTTTTTGGTATTTAACAAAGGTCTAGGTTGAGTCCATTAAGTGGGACTTGTAAAATAGCATGCCAAAAATTGATAAATAAGTTATTTTTGTTAAATTTTAATATTTTTTTTTTCGTAAATATTTTACGACAATCAAATACTAAAAAATATAAAAAAATATTTTATGCTCAAACAAACAAGCCGAAATATAAATGCTCTCACAAAAATCTCCATTTAAAAAAATGTGAGTTTGTTGCCGACATTAAAAAAAAAAAAAAAAAAAAAAATCTTTCAGTGTAACGGTGTGCCCGGTTCTATCGATATACAGATCAAGTGGGCCATGAATTTGTGAAGTGTCTCACGACAAGTTTAATACTTGATTATAGTTTTATGCCCTTGCCTTCTAAGACGAGGAAAGCTAGAAAATAGCCTAGACCACAAAATAAAATAAAAAAATGTTTCAAGACAACATTCAAGAGCCACTAAAATCTTTACACGAGAGACTAAAAAGTACATAAATCATAACATATACTATGTTAGGCTCAAGATCAAAATTAAATCATGCAAAAGGAGATGTATACTTTTGTAATTACTCTTTAAGAGTCGTGATAAATATGTCCTAATGGAAATTAACTATATATGCTTTTTAATGATGATTAAGGAAAGATGATATTCAAATTACTCCCAATGACTTCTTTTTTATTTATTTATTTTATAAATGAATTTACATAAATCAACCATGAACACTCATATGAAATTAGCTGTACTCAATTGACAAGAAAAAAAAAAAAAAAAAAAAAAGAGAAAAAACACAAAAAATATAATTTATTAACTATATGTAAGAGAGATAGGCCAGTGGCTTAGCATTACTAAACCCCTATTTTTCAAAAGGAGATCAAAAATTCGAGTCTTAGTAGAGACGTGTGACCAATATATCCCATTTACACCAAATGAATTTACATTCAATCAACCAAGAACACTCAAATGCTGATTGTAAATTAGCCAAGGATTTGAAATTAACTATACTCCTTGACAAGGAATGAAAGACAATAGAATTTATTTAACTATAGCTAGACTAAAATATAAGAGTAAGACTTCTAAAAAATATTATTAGCCTCCTCTTTGATTTCTGTATGCCAGAGACCTCTCAACAGACTTATATGTCAGCACTTAGCATCACCTATGACCATAAAATATCACAAGACTATCCCAACAAAATTTCCAAAGTCAGATCTCCACATCACCTATAACTTCTCATGCAAAGAAACTGAAAGCTTCAAAATACACACACACACACACTGTATTGTTCTTCCTCTAAAGTGAATATTGACTTTATGCTTATGGATATAGATCAAGAAGACAGGTCTATCATTCATACTCCCAGCTATTTTTTGTTTCAAAATCATAACCTGGTTGCATCTGCTGACTGGCAGCTGCAGGATCCTGAACATTTCGTCAAAAGACTCAAAACCCGTATCTACACCATATCCAGTTCGATTTATGTTCAAAATTTATTCTGTATCTAAGCCACAGTTGAATCATAGCCATAATTATATCAAGTTATACGTATGGTATCAACTCCAAACTTTCAAAAGTATCCTGTATTTAGCATAAGCAAAACTATTTGAAATAACCTTAGTAATTTTCCATATACACAAAAGGAACCTCATTTTTTTTTTTTTTTGAAAGAATAATTGAAGTTTGAATTAGAATAAAGACTGAATGGGGTTTCTCACCCATCTAAGAAGGATATGGCTGCTATTGCCATCAATTAATATCCAGAAAAAAATAAATCAAGCAGCACTGACAATTAAACACTTGAGCAGCAATCAGAGCAGATTTTGAAAATCAAGTCAACAGCTGAAAAGAAGCGTATGCATATGAATTGTTTATACACAAGAGGAAGAAGAGAGGAAATGCTTTCATGTCAGTGAAGGGACCTTGCGGTGTATGGTGCAAAGCTGAAACGCTTAAGCAGTAGCTGCTGCAGCTTGTTCTTCAGCAACCTGCGATGCTGGGAGAAGGGTGCAGATGAGGTTGCGGTCACCATAGACATTGTCAACACGTCCTGATATAACAACCCACAAAGTTTCGTTGTTATTAATATAAGTAGGGACCAAATATTCACATGCAAAAGCAAAAGGGACATAATTCAGAAATCAAAACATAGAAAGAAAATTTTTGGAGGAAGCTGGGTAGCAAATTTTAGCTAGAGCTTATACTGATGTATTTGGTACTATCAGAAATTTTGAGTGGAGGGCAAGGAAATAAAACTTGGTAGAACCAAATCATGTGTGTTTGAATCAGAAAGCACTCAGTGAAAATATTGTCGTGACTTGGGGTCCCAAGTAATTTCATTTTAGAAAAGGAAAGGTTTTGTCCCAGTGCCTGTGTCTAGGTTTCAAGGATCTCCAAATGCAGGGAACTCATGTACAAGAAGAAACCAAAAGGGGAACTCATCAAAATTATTTATTTATTTAAAAAAAAAACCTGAAAAGTTGATAGAGGGATAATAACAATAGTTTCGGAAGAAATTGATGATCCAATAACAATAAACACCTGTGGTGGGCCAGAACTTGGATGATCGGAGCCAGGAAGCAGGGAAGGCTGCATATTCCCGAGAGTACGGTTTTGTCCATGCATCAGCCATTAACAGTGATGGTGGATGAGGAGCTCCCTGCAATTACAGTTCTCAATCCATAAAGTGAACTACAGTTGCAAATGTCGAGATGCATCCAAAAAGAACTCAAGAATGACAATTTTAACAGCGTGCAATTATAAGCACTTAAGTATAACAATCAAGTAAATGCAACAACAGGGTTGAAGAACAAGTCACTCTACCTTAAGAACATTGTTGTTCATATCAGCTTTTCCTTTCTCAATCTGTGCAATTTCTTCTCTAATGGAGATAAGAGCATCACAAAACCTGTCCAACTCTGCCTGCAAAAAGAATAACTACAATAAGCCCATGATTCTGGGGAAAACTGTGAAAGGGGAAAAAACCCTCCATTCTGGAGTATACCTTGCTTTCACTTTCAGTGGGTTCAATCATGAGTGTGCCTGGAACTGGCCAGGACATTGTTGGTCCATGAAATCCATAGTCCATAAGACGTTTCGCCACATCCTCAGGCTCTATTCCAGCAGTATTCTACAATGATAGTGGTTCACAATTAGTCCCATAACTAAAAACTAATAGATGGCGATTAAAATTAAGTTGAATGTTTAGTAAGAACTACCTTGAAGCCCCTTAAATCAACAATGAATTCATGGGCAACTGTTCCATTCACACCACGAAAAAGAATGGGGTAGTGTTTCTGTTGATGAAAGCAAAAGAGATTAATAGTGGGAAAAAAATACAAAATGTTCTATAATATGCTGTAAATTGGTGCAATATGTAACAGGTGTCTTGAGTCCTACATCGGGTGTCTATTGGCTATTGGGTGGTCCTGTGTTTCTTAAATGAGTGCAGTGAACTCACAATTGAATAGTCCTTTGGGTGTGGAGTGGCCTTGTGTCAAATAGCTAAAAAACTCAATTTTGGCTCAGGTAAGATTTCTGATTGAGAAGGAAAATTAAGTATGCCCTGCAATACAACTACTGCATGGCAACCATCTGATTAAAATGCAAGATAGTAAGGAATTTTGCAGGTACCTCCAAACGTTTCGCCATATAGTTTGCATTCAAGATAGCTATCTTTGATGCTTCTGTGAGTCCCTTAGACCCCATCATGGCAATGTAGGTATATGAAATTGGCAAAATAAGTGCAGAGCCCCATGGTGCAGCAGAAATGGTACCAAGTGGATTAAACTTGTCAGGGGCTGGTATACCTCCTGTGGGTACCTTCAGTTTATAAAAAATAAAAAAAGAACAGACAAGAAAAGAAGAAGAAGAATATGTTAAATTTGAAAGCAGCACATTCATATCTAGAAGCATCAAAATAATAGAACAATCAGTGAAATTAAAAACACAACAGAATCTATTGCATTTTTTTTCCTGGAAATTAATCTATTGCTTTCACATGTACATACCTGTTTAAGGTTCAAAAACTTATGCAATGAACAACTGCATAACAGTAAGTCAAGATTTTTACCCTTTTTTCTTGTTTGTAATATCAGCCAATAAAGAAAAGTCAATCGATAGTGGTATTAATATAATCTATTACTTTAAGCGTATATTTGTTAGGTAAAAATTGAGGAAAACTTTCTAGCAGAAAACAAATCTAGAAGTAAGACAATGTGGATGCAATTTTCAAATTTTCAAATAACTAATCCAAATTAACAATGTGGGGGAAAATTTGCATTGGAGAAAAGGGAAAGGAAACAAGGGAACTTAAGTGCATTCTGGTTTTCAATATAAGAATGAAGAACAAGAACACTAATAAAACCAATTCCAAGTCAACAAAACTTCCAGAGAAACAGTTATGATATACGAGAGTAACTGCAATCCTCATTAGGAATGGCAAAAGAAGTTTTAACAAGCTACTACAAAAACAATTGGCAGCAAATGGATGCATACCACGGGATGTGATGGAAGATATGGTGCCAAGTGTTTCTTCACACCAATAGGACCCATGCCAGGACCTCCTCCACCGTGCGGAATGCAGAATGTTTTATGGAGATTGAGATGGCAAACATCAGCACCAATCCAGCCTGGGCTCGTCAGACCCACCTGTAAGGACAAATTTTTTTCATAATTATATCCAAAGTGAGATACCACCAACAGAACACAAAATGCAGTATTTAGAAGAAAGAGATGAATTATCTCTGCTGAAATGAAATTTTGCATTGAACCTAGACATTAAAATCCAAGCTGTAAACCAAATGGGTTAAAAATAAAATAAAATAAAAATTTAAAAAGTGCATCAGCCATAGCACGAATAAGACATAGATTGTCTACTGCATTTGGACCCAAACTTAAAGAGATAAATCTAATCAAATGAACAAAAGCAAAAATTGCAAGCTAAAGCGCCATCGAAATGAAAAACTGTAAAGGCAATGTGATCAACTTTAAACCACCACTTCCACCTGGGGGAAAAAAAACTTTAAACCACCGCATAATGCACAATACTTTTATTTTTATTTATTTTTCAAGTTAATGGCAAAGATAGATTTTAAATTTAAAAATTAAATGAAGAATATTTAACCCATGGTGACAAATTCTTTATCATCAGCGAAGAAAACTGGACACTGAACGAGATGGAAAACTACTATACCACATCTTCTGAAAATGTTCACCGAACATGATTTCATCCCTTGAAAACTGTTTCTATAACTTTTGGAATATATATGTCTCCAAACTCCTTCGTGACATTTAGGGGCATCAGGAAGAATGATGTAAGGTTTGAAAATGAGAGGAGTAAAAATCCATGGAATAACAACCCATTTATTTGAGCATTGCTTTGTTTGGATAGTTAAATTGGTCAGTTTAATTGGTGAGGTGCTCAAGGTGATATAGCCATGATGACAAAGGCACGCAAAAATATAGGTGTCAAGTATCAATTATAACTTTTTTTCTTTTCTTCTGAAGGTGAAGCTAACCAATTATACCCTTCCCAAATTTGAACAGATTAATCTAGCAACGAATTAATTCTAACTACCTTACCTCTCCCACCCATCCAAAGAAATCAAAGAAAAAGAAGAAAAATAATACACATTTATGTACATGTGAGTTCACAAGCACATAAAAACGATGAAATTTGGGGTGTCTATTAAATTTGATAGAGAATTATATTAAAGAAAAGTTACAAGGTCTATAAGAAGATAAAGGGATAAATACCTGCGCATTCATATTGGCTCCATCCATGTATACCTGACCTCCATTATCATGGATTATCTTACATATCTCATCGATGCCTTCTTCATAAACTCCGTGAGTTGAAGGATAGGTAACCTGAAATTTAAAACCAAAATCAATCGTCACTTGGTAAAAGCAATAAAAAAATAATTCCTAGCCTACAATGCGATATATATACCATAAGAGCAGACAGGTTCTCCTTATTTGCTTCAGCAGCCTTCTTTAACTCTTCAATATTGATGTTTCCTTTGGCATCAGTTCCCACAGCAACAATTTTCATACCACACATAGCAGCACTTGCAGGATTTGTCCCATGTGCAGAGACTGGTATGATGCATACATTGCGGTGATGGTCTCCTCTTGCCTATAGGTTAATTCAATGGGTAGATTGGCGTAGTCAGTTTGAGAAAATGTTTTATACAATTCAATTTAAAGAAAATTTTGTACAAATTGAGTGACATGTGGTGATCTTTGAGGAACTCTGGACGTGTGAAATATGGGCTTCGTTGAGAGAGGCTCCTCATCTTTGATAAACTAGGAATGTTGTATCATTATATATTTTGAGGATCTCAATCCCATAACAGTTGTATGGAACTGATGTATTATATAAAATGGGTGGGTTGAATCCATGCAATATTTAATTAAAAATTCTAAATGTGAACCCAAGAGTCAAGTTCACGTAAAAAAAAAAAATTGATACAAACCACCTCATGAACACATGGCACTAGTGACGTATAATCATAAAAAAAATTAGGCTTAAAAGCTTCATCATGAGAGGTAATTTTAAGCTTCATACTGAAATGAGCCCGTGACTGAGGCTATGGCCTTAAATAGAGTGGAATGGAAACATAGGATTCACGTAGCCAACCCCAAATAATTGGGAAAAGGCTTGGTGGTTGTTGTGTGGACTGAAATGAGCATGTGAAGGATGCATCACGTGCATTTTGATAGGCTTTTACAATTCTGTTGCCCAGAAGAAAACAAATAAGTTGATAGATGTTTTGATATCATCATACCATATGATATGCACGGATGACCATCAACCCAGCATACTCGCCAGCAGCACCAGCATTTGGTTGCAAAGAGAAAGAGTCAAATCCAGTGATGGTACACAACAGTTCACCCAAATCTTTAAACATTTCCTGGAATTAAAAAAATTACAGTTCTTCAAAATATATCTCAAGGCAAGCTGTTGCTGGGTACACATGAGAAAACAATATAGAATTAGATGTTCCAAGCAAAGGAATATTCGTGGCTACCTGATAACCCTGAGCCTGTTTGCTAGGGGCAAAAGGGTGGATGTCTGCAAAGCTAGGCCATGTCACGGGCATCATCTCTGTTGTTGCATTCAACTTCATTGTACAAGATCCCAGGGGAATCATGCTGTGGCATAATGAGAGATCTTTTGATTGTAATTTATGAATGTATCGAAGTAGTTCGTGCTCCGTATGGTACCTAAAAAAGCAAATCGAACTCATATTTTTGGCTTGAAAGCTATAACCTATTGGTAATTGAAGTTCAATGGAAGGGCCCTACGAGTTAAAGATTGGATGAGTTAGATATGGGCTCTGCCTTGTAAGCCCAGGAGGGATTGCATTCTGGACCTCTGGTGCAAGAGATGCGGCAGTGAACGTCACCTAATGGTATGCAAAAGTTTACATATTTGCTCTCAGAAAAGTAAGTGTTTACAAAAATCAGCTGCATGGAGATCAATTTAGTGATACTCACAGACTTGCCGCATGCGAAGACTTTTAAAAGCTTATCCACATCTTCTAGTGTTGTTGTTTCATCAAAAGAAACAGTAATCTGAAATGTGACCAAAATCCAGTTATCTCATAACGTGTCAAAGATTACAAATCACACAACTAGCACTTACGGTGTTCTGGTCAACAATCCGCAAATTGATCCCACTTTCGTAAGCGGCATCAGCAATTGCCTTTGCATCAGAACACTTGACCTTCACTGTGTCAAAGAATGGAAGCCCCTGCACTTCCACTGTTCCCAGTTTCTTTAGTCCAGCAGCAAAATTCCCAGCAAGACCATGGACCCGTTGAGCAATAATTTTAAGGCCTTCTGGTCCATGGTAAACAGCATACATTGCAGCCATGTTCGCAAGCAACGCCTGCATAACAAGACAAGATACTCACTAAACCAAAGAGAAGCCAACAAACTAGATACATGCAAGGACTATAACTAGATTCAGAACATATACCAAGTTACTGCCAGGAAATTCTACATGTCGGATAGCCGAAAGTAAGTGACTCCCATAGGTGATGTCAAGCAAAGAGGATCCATTTCTACTTTTAAAATTCATTTTCGTTTATATTTTAAACCAAAAACTCCAAAGTTATTTGGTATAGCAAAATCTATGACACCTATTTGAGGTTTCCACCTTTTAGGCTGACAGATAGTGTAGATGTTAGTGCAAGAAATATGAACTGAGAGGGAATTGTTTCATGTTTCTTTACTTTTTGAAGATCTCAATATGCTACACTGTATAGAAAAGCAGTAAAATGATACCAACCAGCCTCAATTTTGCTAGGTCATGTTTAATGATTCTCAAGCAACATATTGATGAAATAGGATAGTCTATACCTGAGCAGTGCAAATGTTGCTTGTAGCCTTGTCCCTTCGGATATGTTGCTCCCTGGTTTGCATTGCCATACGTAGGGCAGGCTTTCCTGAAGAATCAACACTGACACCAATAATTCTTCCCGGCATCATCCTCTTGTACTCTTGGGATGTGGCCAGGAACGCTGCATGAGGACCCCCATAACCCATTGGAACCCCAAACCTCTGAGCTGAGCCAACAACAATATCTGCCCCGAATTCACCAGGAGGCTTCAACATTGTCAAAGCCAAGAGATCACTTGCCAAAACAACCTTTACCCCATTAGCATGAGCACTCTTTATGAACTCCCCATAATCCAAAACCTCACCCTCTGTTCCTGGATACTGAACCAAAACCCCACAAACATCACCTGATTTATAATCGAAATCTTTGAGATCAGCAATGACTACTTTAATATCAAAACCATCAGCCCTCGTCTTACATACATCTATCGTCTGTGGGTGGCAGTTACTGGCAATTACAAAAGTTTTCTTCTTTCCCTTCTGAATATTATTACACATTGCCATTGCCTCAGCAGCAGCAGTTCCTTCATCAAGTAAGGATGCATTCGACATGGGTAAGGCAGTAAGATCTGAAATCATGGTCTGATAATTGAGCAGGGACTCGAGACGTCCCTGTGCAATCTCAGCCTGGTACGGAGTGTACTGTGTATACCAACCCGGATTTTCCATAATATTCCTCAAAATGACAGGAGGAACGTAGGTGTTATAATATCCCATCCCAATGAATGACTTATTAACCTTATTCATAGAAGCTAACTTTTTCATGTGCTCAATCATTTGACTCTCTGTTAACCCCTCATCAAACTTGGCAAACTTCATCGATTCAAGACGAATCGATTTAGGTACAGTAGCATCTATTAATGAATCTAGACTCGAGAACCCACAAAATTCAGCCATTGTAGTTTGTTCTCCAGGGGTTACTGAGTTATGTCGGCGAGCAAAAGTGTCACTTTCTCTCAGAGCTTCGACCGAAATGGATCGAACTTGAGACCCAACACCAAAACCAGCATTGTGTGACACATTCCTCCCTAGTAACGCATCTGATCTACTACCCTTTCCATGAAAAACATATGGAGTCAATGATGAAACATACCTCGAAGGCGAATAAAGTACTGGCGACGAAGAGGTGGTCAATGATTCATTGGCTCGGTGCTGCTTAGACTCGGAAACCAGGCGCCTGAGAATCGCCCGGTTCGCCAGCCGCCGAGCCCGTTCCATGAATCAAAGCTGGAACAACAAAGCTATCGAATTCAACAACAAATAATTGTTGAACTCAATCAAAACACAACCAAAACAGCTATAGTTTTGGTTGCTTTGTTGCTGTTCGATGAATTGTGTGAATGAGAATGGTGGGTATGATGAGATAATCTAATACACTGTCTTTATATATGTATATATAGAAAATATTTGGTGGTGGTGGTGGTGGTGGGTAAAGAGAGTGTAGGTTGTGAGACAGATTGAGCACCTATGAAGAAAGGGACATGTTTTGCTCACGTGGAGACCTTGTGCTCAATGAGACCTGCGAGCCAATCTTCACAGTGAGTGAGAACAAAAACGAAATATCATAAAGTACTTACAAACTTTGAAATTGAATGAATGTATGGAAGGTGTTGAATCGAAATGGATTGAAATTCAGTGGATCAAAATGGAGTTCAAAGTTGTTCCAAGCAAATTGGTATATATATATTTGGTATATATATAAATATATATATATATATATATATATATATATTTATTTATTTTGCAGTTTCTGAGAGAATCGTGAGATTCTTGATTGGTTGGCAGATTCTCTTTCACATTTGGTTTATCGCTCTCTCTCACCTCATAAAAGCATCACACCTAAAATAAAATATTTATATACATGCATATGTGTACGATATACCTATATGGTATCAAGGGTTAGGGTTGGAAAAGAGTGAGATTCGCATAGATTCACTTTGACTCAGCTTTATATAAGAGACAACGGAATCTCACATGTCCGAAAATTAACTGTCACAGCTCAGTTTTGCAATTACAGTATTATGTTAACCTTCACAGCTCAGTTTTTGCAATTATTAATAGAAAATTGCAATTATTAATCCTTACAGTTGGTTTTTATCTCTCCAATACATCTGATTTTTTTATTTATTTATTTTTTATTGTGCACTGTAAGGATCAAAAATAAAAAATGAAAATTGCTGAGCAGAAAGTTTTTTGGCAGTGCCAACAACATTTACGTGGTGCAACAAAATTGATTTTGCATCGACATAATATAAAGAAATTGATAACCACCAATAAATTTTAACTCTTTATCTTTATTGAAAAGGTTTGATAATTATATATTATTTTACTATATTAATAAATAATAATAGATTTTGGTATAAAAATTTTATACTTTGTATAATGTGAAAAGTGAAAAAAAAGAAAAAGAAAAGTAAATTAGAAAAAAATTTAATACGGGTCAAATATGTTTTTTTTTTTTTTTTTTTTTTTTTTTTTTTTTTTTTTTTTTTCTTGACAGTAATGATGTATAATTTACTTAGTTAATATAATTAATACTTGCTCACGAAAAAAAACACAGAAGTTTAGTATAATAATTCTTTAAAATTATAGTAAACCCAATTGTAAGATTTTTTCTTCCTGTTCAACTCCGTAATGTAGTGATTAGGATGCTTGTCTTCTAAAGACTTGCCGATATTTGACAATTCTCTAACCATGGATGAGATAGGTCTTACATTCGTACTATAAAGTCTATAATATTATACTTAGATAATCGAGTTGACAACTAAATCAAGAGGGTTGTCATTGCAAGTGTCCGGGTAACCGATAACTCACAAAATATTTGTAAGTATACTTTTCTTATCAATAGAGTCGATTGTCGACTTTTGCAATAAATAGAACTTTTTTGAGAGGATACTTCTCATGTGGCATGTGTGTACTCAGTCAAACATTGGCAATTCTTTCGAAGGCAAGCATTCTAGCCACTATATTCATATTATAATGTATAATCGAGTTGAGAACTGAATCAAGAGGGTTGCCATTGCAAGAATCGGGCTAACTGATTACTCACAGGACATGTGTAAGTATACTCTCCTTATCAATTGTTGACTTTCGCAATAAATACAACTTTTTAAAAATTAAGGAAAGAGGTTGAACAATTGCACAATTGCAAACCTTCAATTCATTTCTCTTGATCCGAAGAGATAACATTTTGAAAAAATAAAATGACTCACACACTCCACTTCTTAAATTCATTTGCCATGGAAAGTGAAAGGCATTCTTACCCCTTACTCTTACTTTTATCCTTCAATTTATTTGTCATAAAAAGTTAACGGTCTCTAAAGTCCCTTATGGTGCTAAGGTTTTTATTACTTTTTAATTTTTATTTAGGATAAATTTCATTTTCCTCTTGTCAATATTTTTACGTAAATCTCTCTATGTTTCATAATTCTACTTATTATTATTTTTTTTTATTATAAAAAACAACTCCAACTTGATAACAATAGTGTATTATTTTACCGTTTTACCATGCATTAGAAGGGCAGAGCTAACCTTGTCTTCATTTTCTACAACATCAGTCGATTTTATCTGTCTCCATCATGTGTCTAACGACAGGAGGAATCCGTCACATAAATCAGAATTTCAAGCGAAGTGAGTGGAACTATAAAATGCATATGAAGTCTATGTGAGATATTGACAAATTTGAGAGGAGGTAAGTGAAATCTATCCTTTTATTTATTACTTTCTCATGCACAATAATCAAAGCAAGTAATGTTAGAAAAGGAAAATTAATCTGAATTCGAGTTTAACAAACAATGTGTAAATCGAATTTGAACGCTATGGAACCTGAACTGTTATTTACAGTAATTGATTAAACCGAGCTCCTACAGTCGGAAATCTTTTAAAACTCCTTTAATTGCGATTGGTTAAGTCTAAAATTGCCCACAGAACTCTTTTAACACTCTGTTAATTGCAAATTGTAGTTATCTAAAATTGCCGACAGTCAGTGGGGCCCGGGGGACATTAATTCTAGCACTGAAATTTGTTTCTTTTCTCTTTGCATTGTACCCTCCCGACCTTGTTTTGCACATTAACTAACATTTGACACATTAACAAATTTGTGGAGGGAAAAAAAACTCCCTCCAATAAAAAGCGCACACGTCACCACTACCCATATCTACATTCCAAAGGCCCATCATGCTCAAGCTCAAATTGAGAGTATTTACAGCCCAAGACCATTGTTATTTGTCCTCCAACTTCCATCAAGGCCGAATCAAGAAGTCATCAGCCCAGCTCATGAATATTTAACATCCGGCCTGTTACTCAAGCCCAGCCGGATCAAAATATATTCAGCCCAGTTATTCAAGAATGCACAAGTCCTACCAGTTGAAGGATTTACTATAGAAGGAAAACTCTGAGATAGGAAGTTCTGTACAAGGCAAGTTCTATGTATGGAAAATTCGACAATGGAAAGAACCCTATTAGAAAAGAATGTTTATATAGAAAGAATTGGAGGGCAAGCAACGCGAGTCCTACCATAATTTTGCAATCTTTTGTATATAAATAGAGGCTAAGACCTCCAATAAAGCGATCAAGCAATTCTACGCTTCTCGATATACTGTTCTTATTGTTTTTTGAGTGAGTTGTTTTATTTTTCTCAATCATTATTGGTTGAGCAAAATTTTGCATCTACACTTTGGCGCCGTCTGTGGGAAACGTATAAAAATATACTCCCACTTGTTCTTCAAATCAAATCCTTAGTCGTGTCTGGAATGTCAAACGGAGAGTCAGCAATGAATCAACAGATAGAATTGATGCAAAAGATGCGAGAAGAGTTCTTGCACCAATTTGAGACACTCCGGCAAGCAAACGATACGAGTGTCGCCTAGATAGCTGCGCTTCAGCAGCAGACTCATACGCTGCATACGGCCATGGCCAGGCTAACGCCACAACCGCCACCAGGTGATGCTGCAGCACCACCCCCCACCCGGAATTTACCTCCGGTTCACGAGCCTCCAGCCAACGAGACACCACCCAACGGGGCTCGACTTAATGAGGTTCAGCAAAAGCAAGGGATGAGGTCCGAGGCGGTTGCTTCGGATAATCTCCCGCATCGCACACAGGACGAACAGGCCGAGTCCAGCCATAGGCTTACGGTATGGTCCAATGGCGTTCCAGATGGCGTACGCGTACAAGATGCCTTCGACGAAAAGAAGCTCTTAAGAGTTCAGACACCAGCTGAGATGGCTAGAGAGCACAAAAACTCCTTGGTCAAGACCCCCTTTACTGACGAGGTGTACCTAGTGGAGAGACCAAAGAAGTTCACTATGCCATCCTTCACCCAGTTCGATGGAGCAGGAGACCCCTCTCGGCATCTCAATCATTATGCGCAAAAGATGGCACTGGATGATCATAACGATCCGTGGATGTGTAAGGTTTTTCCTACCAGTTTAACCGGAGCAGCGTTAGAATGGTTCAGGAATAGGCTACACAAGTCTATCCCTGATTATGAGACCTTGTGCACTATGTTCTTAGCCCAGTATTGCGGAAATAAGAAGCAGAAGAAAAGTATCGCCAGCCTTTTCACCATAAGGCAAAGGAAGGGAGAAACTCTGCAAGATTTTTTATCCAGGTTTAACATGGAGGCTTCGGAGATAGCAGATTGCCACCCTGCCACGGCAATCGAAACATTTAAGTTGGTAATGATCCAGGGAACCAAGTTTCACACATCCTTGGTCAAATATTCCCCCCCGGATATGCAGACTTTGAACGCTAGGGCACAAATCTACATTCGGTTAGAGGAAAACGTAGCCCACCGTGCACAGCACGCTACCCTCGTCACAGTGGAGAACAAGTCTCGAGAGAAAGCTGCGAGCACAAGGATGCAGAAGGTTCCTCATACCACCATGCAAGTCACCCAAGCGTCTGAGAAGAGGCGAAGGACAGAGGACAGGCTTACCCCTCTCCGTACTACCTTGGCGCGCCTATTCCAAGAGAATAAGACGAGGTTCGCGACTCCTCAGCCCATGAAACAACCCTTGGAGCAGAGGGACAAAAGCAAACATTGTGCCTACCATAGAGACTATGGGCATACCACCAATGACTACAGGTCCCTACAGCGACAGGTAGAAAGCATGATAGCGAGAGGAGAGTTGGTGGAGTATCTCGCCACGAAGGAGCACGTAAAACCTCGGGAGGTTAACCCTCGACGGGTAGAGGGCGGTCAGGTAAAGGTTATCCATGCTATACACGGAAGGTCAGAGGATGATGAAGAGTCTGAAGAGTTGTACAGATCCAGGCTGAGAGAGGCTCATAAGTTACGAAGATTGTCTTCGGTAAACACGGTTGCACCAGGCAGCATCAACATTGGATTCGGTAACAATGATCTTTCTAGAGTCCAGCGCCCGCATGAGGACCCCTTGGTCATCAGCCTCCTGGTAGCGAATTATATGATCAGGAGAGTGCTGATAGATCCGGGAAGTAGCGCCAACATCATTACAAAAATAGCTTTTGATCAGTTGGGGGTTTCACCATCGTCCATCAGGCCA